AATCGATTCGCTCACTCCGCCGGCCTTTTTCGCATCTCTGTGGCTCTCGGGGGGCCCGGGGGGCCGTTTTGGGGGCTCTTGGAAGCATTCCGGGAGTTTCTTGGGAGCCTCTTCGGCCTGTATTGGAGCCTCTTGGGGGTTTCTCGGGGCTTCTTGAGGGCTTTTGGGAGCCTCCCGGGGTTCTTTTGGGGCCGGGAGCTCGAAACCTCCGTTCGGGTTCCTTCTTTGGGCCTTCCTTGGGGCTGTCCTAGGGACTCTTCGGCTGACATGGAGGCCAGGAGGAGGAGGAGGAGGAGGACGAGGAGGAGGAGGAGGCGGAGGGAGGAAGAGAAGGAGGAGGAGGAGGAGGAGGAGGAGGAGAAGAAGGGAGAGCATGAAGAGGAGGAGGGGGAGAGGAAGAGCAGCGTGTGGAGGAGAGGGGGTAAAAACAGGAGGAGGAGGAGGAGGAGGAGGAGGAGGAGGAGGAGAAGGAGGAGGGGGGGGAGAAAGAGGAGGGGTGGCGTCGTCACGCGCAATCCTAGAGAATTGTTGGATATGACTGGCGGTTTCCGGCCAGGGTTGCTCGCCTGCCCGGGCGGGACCAGACCTTGGAACTTGAGTTATTGAATCGTTTCGCTCACTCCGCCGGCCCATTTCGCATCTCGGTGGCTCTCGGGGGCTCGGGGGGCAATTTTTGGGGCCCATTGGAGGCCTCCCAAAGGCTGCTTGGGAGTCTTTCGGGGGTTTATTGTGGCTTCTTGGAGGTCTCTCGGGGCCTCGCGGGGGCTTCTGGGAGCCTTCTGGGCGCCTTTTGGGGCCGAGAGCTGGAAACGTCCGTTCGGGTTTCTTCTTTGGGCTCTCCTTCGGGCTATCCTAGGGCCTCGTGGGCCGTCATGGAGGCCTTTTGGGCCGTCTTGGGGCCTTCGTGGGTTATTTTGGGGGCCCTCTTGGAAAACTCTCGGGCCGTTTTGGGGCGGGTTTGGGGGCCTCTCGGGCCGTCTTGGCGCGTCGGGGAGCTGAAAAGGCGAGAACGTTCAAATCCTGTTACAAACAATTGGAAATACATCATGTTTGCCTCTTGGGGCCCTCAGGGGAGGCTTCTTGGAGGCCTTTTGGGGCGTACAGCGGGCATCTTGGGTTGTCTTGAGGCTATCTTGGGCCGTTGTGAAGCGTTCTTAGCCTCAGGTTGTGGCGCCTGCAACTTATCTGGCGCCTGCTTGGGCCGCTCCTGGACCGCTCCGAAGGCTCCCAGGGCCGCGCCGAGGATTTTGGCATCTTGTAAAGCCTGGTGGGTTAGATTGTATGTTACCCTATGGCTTGACGTGTTGATGCCAATGAATGTGCTAACCATGGGGTGCAGTGTCGGAGACTGGCTCCACAATTTCCGACCACATGGGAAAAACCTCATGGGCAATGCCTGCGCTGAAAGAAGTGCATGTTCAGTCATGGCTTGAGGCAGCGGTTGATCGGCTGTGCACACTGAGAGTTGCGATGCGTCTCCGGCAGGACCTTGCCGGGAGTTGCCCGGGGTACTTTTCGCCTGGAGACCCCCAGGAGCCGCCCCGCGCGTGCGAAATAGAAACACGGTTAAGATGTTACTGGAGGTCTTAGCACGCCTCTGGCCCGTCGGGCCGGCGAATTGGGCAAGCGGATCGCAACCGAGAATTTGTAGCCTCCGGCGGAGATCCCAGCGCCGAGGCTCGTTTGAATGCGGATCGCAATGAAGAAGTTGTAAAAACATTTGGTACTGGGTGGTAGGAGGGCCGCATTTTTTCAATACCTCGCCACGGTGATCGGGTGCTTGTTGGTTGACTTTATGTGTGTGTACGTCTTTATGCCTGTCTGTCAGTGTGTCTGGCTGTCTCCATGCGTGTGTTTGTTTGGCTCGACGGCACTCTGTCTGGCTGTCTCTATGCGTGTGTTTGTTTGTCTCGAAGGCACCATTTGGGCTGAAGTGTCGTACGCCCTTCCGCCGAGCCCTAGGAGAAGTGGAAGCGTGCGATGATAGTGGAAACGATCTGGTGGCATTCGGCCAAACTCGCCACCGTGTTTGGGCTGTGGGTCGGAAGCCTTTTTGATGAAACTGTGAGTCTCTTGGGATCCCTGCCACTACGAGAGGGCTCTAGGGGGCATCTGGGAGATTCGGCGAGAATGTCAACAGCAAAGAAAACACAATGGAAAATCAATGATTCTGGCTTCTTGGGTCTCTCTTCTGATGCCTCTTGGAGATGTCTTGGTGCGTCTTGGCGGCCTCTTGGGCTGTCTTGGGCGTTTGGGGGCGCTCTTTGGGCGTCTTTGGACCGTCTTGGGCCATCTTTGGGGTTTCTTAGGCAACTTTTGGGCAAGCAAACCGTCCCGGACGCTTATGCGTTTTCTCCCAGCCGCGCTTCGCCCGTCCGCTGGAAGAGAAATTATATCCATTACAATAGGCATCTCAGTGACACGGAGTTCTGCCTTTGACAGGGGACTCCGAAGGGGCATGGGAAGCGAGGGGCCGCTGAAGGGGATTCGGAAGAGCGACTTCCCGACGCTTTCAGGCTCGAGCGGGTTGTGGATTCCCGCGCTCCGCATCGGTGCCTTCCGGGGGGGCCTGCATCCGCATTCCTTTTCCATTCCCTCCGCATGGCAACCCGGGGCGCGTACGTTGACGAGGCGCTTCCGCCGGCAGCGCCCGATCGCTTACTGGTGCAGTACAGGGGGACGCGCTGCGGGCAATGCGGCACCGACGGCATCGCACCGCCCTCCGCGCTCCCGAATCGCCGGCCCCGCCACCCATGGACAGGCCACGAGGTGGACATGAGGCGACTGCGTGATCGCCTGCAGGCGTCAGTGGCCACGCGCTCCAGCGGCACTCAGACCGTGGATGTCGCAGTGTTAGTGTGTCCGCGGTGCTTTTGCCGTCACTACCCCATGTGGCTCGTGCCCGCACAGGGCGGTCGGGAGCGTTGGCTGCACACTGTACCAGCGGACTTGGACTATTGCTTTGTCTCGGCGGAGTTCGGCGTCGAGGTGTCCCTCTTGCGGTGGTTCGAGGCTCTCTGGGTGGCCGACGGAACCAGGTTCGAGAACTTCGCGGCGGCCTATGGGACATTCTTCGGGTGCCCGCGCACTGCGTTCCAGAAGAAGGACTTCCTGCACGCATACGTTCTCTGGAGCTCTCTATGCTGGACGGCGGAGGGAATTTTGCAGGAAAATCCCATGTGGCTGGATGCAGGTGCTGCTGGCGCAGCAGGAGGAGGACACGTGTGGGCCAGCGTTCCGTACTTCGACTGCCGCATCGGCAACCAGGGCGCTGACATCGAGGAGTTCTTGGGCCCGTTGCGGAAGTACTGGTACCCCGCCTTCAACGACCAGTGGGTGGCCAGGCATTCCGAGTATTGCACGTCCGACTGCACCAAGGTGATGCTGCTCGATGGGAGCGCCAAGAATTACCGAACCGGTTGCCCTGCGGAGATTGCTCCCCTCGATTACCACGGCGTGACGGTGCGGAGGATGTGCGGCAGGCCAGTGCAAGGCCCGTCCGGCTGCGCTGTTCACGGCCATGTGCCGTGCCCTCCGCCGCGCCAGTCTGGCGGCGGTCGCCGGGGCCAGCGGGAGTGTGCTACACTGAAAGAGCGGCATCATCCGACGGCTTCCAACCGGAGCTTTGGGTGCCTGCCCAGTGCTTTCCGATGCCGCACGTTCGGCCCTTTCTACGAGCTCGCTTACGCGGAGAGCTGCTCGCACGTGTACATGGCGGAGAACGAACTCAAGTCCCTCAACCCGGATTTCGCCATCAGCATCTACGACGACGGCTGCCACATGCGAGATTTCTGGCTGACCCGCCCGTCTCAGGTACACCCAGGGTGGATGCCCCGCCACTTCATTCCTCGCAGTCATTTGCGTGGCCACGTCCGTCTCTTTTGCCAGGAATATCTGTGCCCAGATTCGTGCTCGGACCTCTACAAGTACATGCTCAGGGCTGTGCAGCTCTCAGCCCAAGACGCCGCCGCTCTGGGAGCCGCCCTTGATAGGAACGGCTGCCTCCGCAGAGGCATCACGGTCGGCGGCGTTGACTTGCCCAGGAACGCGACGTTGCAGGCAGCGGGGGGCAAGCGCATGGACGCTCGCTGCCATCTCATCACAGCATTGAAGGAGGATCCCCTCCCTGTCTGGACCGCGTGGCAGCAAGGGGACGCACGCGTGGTGCTCTCCGTGAACACTAACGCGCAGCGGACTGCGCTCTTGGCTCGCTTCGACCCGCTGCTGCGGCTGAAAGGCCCGCACCCAGTCCGACTTCGAGATGCCGAGGGGCAGGCCGCGTGGGTGCGGAAGGGCGCCGCGCTCGTAGCCGCGGGCGTCTTTCGCAGGGACGGGCGTGAGGCTGTGCGCCAGGCCTTGACCTCGCATGAGGCCGTGAGCGGCGTGACCGTGGTGAAGACGTCCAACACTGAGGCTGTGGAGGAGAACTGGCGCTTCATCAACAGGCACAAGGCGACGCTGCGGCACGCGGGCGCAGAGATGTACTTCTATCTTCTGCACCGCATTGCCCACCTCCTCAACGTCCGCCGCTGGGCGGATTCCGAGGAATGAGTGGCGGGTCGGCTTTGCGCGCGCAGCGGGGGTGTTGCTTAGCGACTGGGCATGCGAGGTGCCCGCTCTTATTGTTTAGTTGAATACACTTGCCTAAAATATTTCGCATGGATTCGAGCTGCCTCAGCGCCGCGCTGGTGCCCGTGCCAGAGTGCCTCGGGGGGGATCCGACGATGAGAAATTCTTGTCGGGCTCAGGGGCCTCATGGCTGGTCACCTGGGTTCGGGTGTGGTCGAGGTGTTTCGCAAGCTCCCCCGATGTGGCAGGAGGGGAGGGCTGGGGGGTACCCGCCAGCGCGGCTGTTTCATTTCCAGGAGGATCGGTGGGCCGATCTGGGAGCAATCGCGTCACCGTAGCTTTCTGGCCTCCAGCTGGCAGGTGCTGACTTCACCGATTCCGCGCCCCGCGCTCGTCAGCAGAATTTCTGTTGTCCCTGCGGTTCTAGGGCCATGTCGACCGCTAAGAAACAGGTGATAAACAGGCACCTCGAGGCCGCCGTGAGATCCTTTCGGGCTGCATGGAACGACGACTCTATTCTGGGGGATGCGAAGGCTTACGTGTACAGCGTCGCCGTCCCCTACGTGATGCACCCGGCGGTGGCGCTCATGGGCTTGCACAACCTCGGGTTCCTTGCCGCGAACGGCATCAAGGCGGGCGTGAGGTCGTCGGGGGCGAAGGTGACCAACTTCGGGTCCTTCTTCTACCACGGGAAGAAGACGGGGAAGTCCAATTACACGGACTTTGTCTTCCAGCACGGGGAGGAGTTCGAAGTGGACGTCAACGACGCGGCATGCAGGCTGATCCACAACCCGCCTGCTCAGGCGGACGGCGTGCCTTCGGACCCCCCCACCACCACGAACATCATATTCAAGAACGTGGGGCCCGAAGAGATGATGGCTCAAGCAGACCCGAATAAGTTTGGGCGCGGGTGGTGGTCCGCCATCCGGGCAGAGGCGGAGTTCGGGAGCCACTGCGAGCAAGTGAATCTTCTCGGCTCGGGCGGCGCCCAGAAAAAGTACGAGAACCAGGCGGGGTACAACGACCTATTCGACGACGGCATGGCCTCGAAGCTCTACCGCGACGCGTCGAAGAACTACGGGAAGGACGTGTTCGCTAACTGGAAGCGCCGGGCGCCTCGTGCATTGTCCAAGCGGCCGTTTCGCATTCTGACCCCCCCCCTGTCCCCTCTCCCATGCGGCCACGCGCGTGGGGGCTGAGCGGATCAGCGGCGGGGGCATTGCAGGGCGGCGCCCGGTGAGGTTCTCCAACGGCAAGAAGTTCGCACCATGGGGTTCTACCACACTGGGTGCATGAACTTCCATGACGCGTGCAAGCTCCTCTGCGAGGCCGAAGGACACCATTCCATGGCGTTGCTGGACCGGTATTGCGCCATGCCGCTGATTCCGGAGAATCCGTACGCGGACCCCCCGGACGGTTTCGATCCCCCGGAGGTTGTCAAGAAGGCAGACGGGGAGTTGCAGCGCGACGCGCACGGATTGTGGCGCAGGGACAAGCTGCCTGCCCCGAGGAAGGAAGTGCTTGACGGCATGAGGGCGGTCAAGGATTTCGTGGAGAGCAACCCCAACGCTGTGGCGCGCTTCACGCCCAAAGGTGCAGCTCTGTATCGCCTGGTGGACAGCGTTAACTGGAGCGCGGCCGACCGTCTTCAGTACGTGGATGAGGACAAAGCCGCCCGGCTTCGCCAGCTGCAGCGCTTCCTCTACGACTTCGCCATTGCCCAGCTGCTGCTTGAAGTCCAGAAGGCTGCCTCCGGTCCCGCGGGCCCAGCGGGCGACGCAGCCGACGCTGGCGCGGCGGCTGCTCCGGGCGCGGTTGCCACTCGCCCCACGGTGAAGGACACGTTCGTCGACGAGCAGCACGTCCAGCGTGCAGTTTGCCACTTGGCTGCGATCTGGGAGGGCCACGAGTCCTTCGTGAACCCGCGCCGCACCATGTATTTGGAAGAGAACGTGTGGCGCGGCACGTTGGCTGAGCAGCGAGAGGCGGCGGCGCGGGCCGCGGCGGATGAGGGCGCCGATGACGTGGAGGCCGAAGGCGTCGCGGGCGCCGAGAGCGGTCTCGAGTTGCCGGCGGGGTGGTCGCAGAATGTGTGGAACGGCACTCCGTATTATTACCCCGACGCCGACGAGCGCGCGTGGCAGTATGAGCACCCGTCCACCGTGCCGACCCCGCCTGTGCCGCGGATCCCGCAGGGCGTCGACGAGTACGTCTTTGTGGGGATAATTGATGCGGGCTTGAAGTCTCGCATGATCGCCGGAGTTGACGACGCGGAGGTTACGTGGGGCGGCGGCGACCTGATCGCGGCCGCCTGCAAGAACACGCTCCTGTGGAAATGCTCCACGGCAGAGAACCGCATCACCGGCAACATGGTTTCCGCCGCCATCCGGGCGAGTCAGGTCGCTTGGCCGTCGTTGTCCTGGTGGAAGTCCGTCGTGGTCGAGGGCGAGCTCTTGCATGCGGGGCTGGGCCGGAAGTCTGACCACAATGCCGGCGGGGGGTTCTGGGAGAAGCCCAAAGTCCCGATTGATGAAGAAGAACTCACTGCCTTCGTGGACCTGTTGGCGCAATGGGGAGTTGCCCTAGAGGATTACGAGCGTGCTTGGGTCACCGGCGCGGCTGCTTCCGGCGCCCGCGCGCAGGCCGGTGCGCGCGCCTGCGCGCGCGGCGGCGCCAGGTGGCCGTGCGAGCGATTCGCCTGACCCGGGGGCGCGGCCGACCGCGCGCAGCAGCCCGTCGTCCAACGCGCGCAAGAAGCGACGCGGACCGGCGGGTGCTGCGCGCCCGAGTGCTGCCCCGGCGCCGCGCGCGCTGGCGTCGGACTTCCGTGGGCCGACGTAGGCGCGCAGCAGATGCGCCATGCGGTGTGAGACGGGCGAGCGGAGCGCCGAGGGCGCGGCGAGAGAGGATTATAGGGAGGCAGGGCCAGGGCCACGGCCACGAGGAAGGTGCGGGAAGCTTGCTCGCTCCGCTGCCTCAGGAGGGGTGTTTTTTTCATCGCGCCAGCACGCGCTCGCTTTAGTGGCGCCTCGAAGGAGAGGGGTGTGTTCTGCACTCGCAGTGAAGATATGCTTGATTGGTGAGGTTGGAAGTAATTTGGAGGGGTTGCGGTTCCGCTGCGACGTCGGATATTCATTATTAGAAGTTTTATGTGTGTGGGCTGAGACCAACCTACTTCATCTGGCTTCCCACATCATGTGTACACTAGCTCAGGACTCGTAGTGGGCATATGCTGACTTGTGATGTTGTAAAGGTGATGAGAGGGGTTGTACATTGCAATTGTTTTTGAGGGGGTGGAGGTTCTGCTTCGACGTCGGACATTCATTTTCAGGTTTTCTAGGTGGATGGGCCGAGACCAACCTACTTCGTCTGCCTTCCTACTTCATGTGTACATTAGCTTCTAGTTCAGCAGTCGCAGTGAGCATATGTCTGAATTGTTGATTGTTGAGGCGCTCAGAGGGACCATACATTGCAATCGTTTCGGAAGGGTGGAGGCTCCGGCACGCTGCGTCGACGGATATTCACAACGAGTTCTCGGGTGCCACCCACGCTCTACAGGCCGCCTGTATTCCAATATTCCAATGTATTTTCAGAAGAGTGAACCTCGAGAGGGCATTAAATGCTAGTTGATGCGCGTGCCATTCTGTTGTAAGTGTCAGGGGCTACATGCCTATGTTTTTCCGGGGATTCGCACAGTCGGCGTCTTCGTGCTGTAGTGGCATGGCGATTCCGTAACCATGATGGCTTTGGCTGCGTTTCTGGATGTGCTGCTTCCCCCTGCAGGGCGGTTCGCACGTCGTGGGGTTTCGTTCTCGCTGCGCCGCTCGTCGCCATGGCGCGACTTTGGCCTACTAGTACGACCGGCGGAGGGGCCCCCCGCTCGAGACATGCTCGAAAGTCCTCCCCGGCGGGGCTACCAGTAGGGACGAAGTAGCCCTACTAGTACGGGCCCCGGGGAGCTGGCGGGGGCGTACTAGTAGAGCTACTTTGGCCTACTAGTACGACCGGCGGAGAGGCCCCCCGCTCGAGACATCCTCGAAAGTCCGCCCCGCCGGGGCTATTAGTAGGGCTACTTTGGCGTACTAGTACGGGCCCCGGGGGGCTGGCGGGGGCGTACTAGTAGGGCTACTTTGGCCTACTAGTACGACCGGCGGAGAGGCTACCCGCTCGAGACATCCTCGAATGTCCGCCCCGGCGGGGCTACTAGTAGGGCTACTCTGGCGTACTCGTACGGCCCAGGAGAGCTGGTGGGGGCGTACTAGTAGGGCTACTTTGGCCTACTAGTACGACCGGCGGAGGGAGCCCCGGGGAGCTGGCGGGGGCGTACTAGTAGGGCTACTTTGGCCTACTAGTACGACCGGCGGAGAGGCCCCCCGCTCGAGACATCCTCGAAAGTCCGCCCCGGCGGGGTACTAGTCGGGCTACTTTGGTCTACTAGTACGGCCCCGAGGAGCTGGCGGCGGGATACTAGTAGGGCTACTTTGGCCTACTAGTACGTCCGGCGGAGAGGCCCCCCGCTCGAGACATGCTCGAAAGTCCGCCCCGGCGAGGGCTACTAGAAGGGCTACTTTGGCCTACTAGTACGGCCCCGGGGGGTTGGCGGGGGCGTGCTAGTAGAGCTACTTTGGCCTGCTTAGCCGTACTAGTACAACCCGCGGAGTCGTACTAGTAGGCGTACTTTGGCCCTACGGGTTCGCCTCCCGAGCGCCGCGGGTCGTACTAGTAGGCCTGCTTAGCCGTACTAGTACAACCCGCGGAGTCGTACTAGTAGGCGTACTTTGGCCCTACGGGTTCGCCTCCCGAGCGCCGCGGGTCGTACTAGTAGGCCTGCTTAGCCGTACTAGTACAACCCGCGGAGTCGTACTAGTAGGTGTACTTTGGCCCTACGGGTTCGCCTCCCGAGCGCCGCGGGTAGTACTAGTAGGCGTACTTAGCCGTACTAGTACGACCCGCGGAGTCGTACTAGTAGGCGTACTTCGGCCCTACGGGTTCGCCTCCCGACCGCCGCGGGTAGTACTAGTAGGCGTACTTAGCCGTACTAGTACGACCCGCGGAGTCGTACTAGTAGGCGTACTTCGGCCCTACGGGTACGCCTCCGTACTAGTAGGCGTACTTAGCCGTACTATTACGACCCGCGGAGTCGTACTAGTAGGCGTACTTCGGCCCTACGAGTACGTTTCCCGACCGCAGCGGGTCGTACTAGTAGGCGTACTTAGCCGTACTAGTACGACCCGCCGGGTCGTACTAGTAGGCGTACTTCGGCCCTACGAGTACGCTTCCCGACCGCAGCGGGTCGTACTAATAGGCGTACTTAGCCGTACTAGTACGACCTGCCGGGGCGTACTAGTAGGCGTACTTCGGCCCTACGAGTACGCTTCCCGACCGCAGCGGGTCGTACTAATAGGCGTACTTAGCCGTACTAGTACGACCCGCTGGGGCGTACTAGTACGCGTACTTCGGCGTACTAGTACGACTCGCCGGGGCGTACTAGTAGGCGTACTTCGGCCCTACGAGTACGCCTCCCGACCGCAGCGGGTCGTACTAGTAGGCGTACTTAGCCGTACTAATACGACCCGCCGGGTCGTACTAGTAGGCGTACTTCGGCCCTACGAGTACGCCTCCCGACCGCAGCGGGTCGTACTAATAGGCGTACTTAGCCGTACTAGTACGACCTGCCGGGGCGTACTAGTAGGCGTACTTCGGCGTACTAGTACGACTCGCCGGGTCGTACTAGTAGGCGTACTTCGGCGTACTAGTACGGCCAGCCGGGAAAACCAAGCACTCTCTCCCCACTTCCTTGGACGCTATACAACCAGGATAATGTACAAGTACGGGCCTCACATATCCCTGCACGGCGCATATTGAACACAGGGTGGGCCCCCCTGCGAACCTGGTGTGCTGCCAGATGGCGCGAAGCGCCCCCTCCCCCCCGCTACGCACCCGCGATTGCTGGTTTGGGAGATGATGAAGCATGTTACGCTAAACACCCTGCACCCTCGCCTTACGAAGGGAAACGGGTGTCTGCGGACCCCGTGATAACCGTTCGCGGGGTAGAATGGAGGAAGCGGCCGGGATGCATTGATGCAGGGGCCTCCTGCGCCTGGGCCCCTGGAGGGCGTGCTCGCTGCAAAACTGGTGTGAAACAGGCGCGAGCAGAAGCGAGACGACGCGGCATGCTGACCGACGAGAAATTGATCGAAGGTGGACGCCTGGACAAATGTTACAGTGTCAAGACCGTTGACGGCTTCCGCCTCTCACAGTGCGCCTCGTCGAGGAGGATGCTCTGCGGGATGCACTGCGGACGAAGACAACGTCCTCCAGCACCAGCAGGGTTCGTATAGAGGGGGTCACGTCGCTGCCGCCATCCTCTGCGACATCCAATTTCAACAGTACGTTCGCAGATATTTCGCGGACTCTATAGCCCATGTGAGGCAGCACGAGACGGACATTGAATGGCGCCACGCAGAGCTCTTCATCATGGGCACCGTCGCCAAACTCGTGATTATCCATGCTACTGTTGTAAGCTCCCTCTGCCCACTCCATAAACGCGTCGCGATTGACGACCCACTGCAGCAACCCTGCGCCTTCGCATAGAGGTCCACTCAGACTCAAGAACTCGGCGGAGCACTGCAAGATAGGCAAACCGTGGACTTCTGAGTTGATATGGACAGTCATCCCCCCGCACTCGGTTCCGATCAGTACACCAGAAGAGGAGCTCCCTGAAACGCTGATCGAGTCCTCCGAGATTCCTGCTAAAAGGCTACAAGGCGGTATCACCTGGCTATCGCGAAGCTTGCCCTCAGGCGGCGTCCGGAGCTCTTCGGAATCTTCCTTCAAACCCACTATGTGAATCGGCTCGTCGTCTATGTCAATACCGTGGGCGTGGAACAGCCGAAACTTTACAATCATGCCCCATGAATCTTTCAACGAAACGTGAACCGTGCTAGTATCAGACATTGGTCGCTCCAAGAATGCAGTCAAACGGTCCTTCTCCGACGCGTCAACCGCTAGATCAACAAATGAGACACCAACACCCATCGTTGTGGGCGATCTGAGAAGCAGTGTGGCAAGATGTGCGGCCGGCTTCGAAAACCGAAAATCTCGCGACATATGCACCACCGCGTCGCACACACTTGACAAGAGACCGCCCGCTATGGACTCAACACTTCGCGAAGTCTTTGCCTCCAACACTGCCAAAAACTCCGCGTCGCGGGACTTTCTGACCGAAGCTGTTATGGCGAACACAAGGAGCGACACTATCAACTCCTGACGCGTGTCGGCGGGTTCATACACTGGCGAAACACCTGCGACGTACATAAGACCTAACATAAGAGTCACTCTAGGTCTGCAATGAACAATACTCACTGCGAGACGTTCGCAGATTCTCACTGGGCTGGCTTTCAAGAAAGCGACAAGGTATAAGACGACAATATACAGGAGAACGTGGAACAAGAACACGACACTCGGGGTGAACAACCTTGGCTTGAGAGTCCCTGCCATCAGGAATGTAGTCAGTGCCGCGTTGCCGAGGCGCACCGCTGAGGACATATCATTTGCACCAGTTGACCTATGTTATAGCAGAAGGCAAAGACGAGTATCCTGGGGCACCCCCAAACCACTTGCTCTGAGAGTCGCTTGTCTGCCATATCCTTCAATTGACGATGTAACGGGTGCGGTGGTGACATGAAGAGCAGCCACTTTGCCGTAGCATTGAAATGATCATAGACTGAGCCCCACCGCGGGAAGAAACCAAACAGCCCAGAGCTGCGAAACCGCCAGACAATGACAACGAACGTCAGGCAGTTGAAAGGGATAAGTATGATAAGCCAGATACGCTCGTTCAACATGATTGGGCCCAAAATGGCCGCTGCCCTGGGCTAGGCGCTAAGTCCGTTTCACTGAGATGCGCCTGGATCTGGGCCTCTCGCTTGAGCCAAAATGGCTACGGAGGGAGGAGGAGGAGGAGGAGGAGGAGGAGGAGGAGGAGGAGGAGGAGGAGGAGGAGGGAGTGAGGGAGGCACGTTTGGACGCGGGGAGCCGCTGATTCAGACGAAGACCCAACTCAGGACTGTCGGGAAAAACGTATTTCAACGTGGAACTTCTGCTCCGTCTCCCTCCCTCATTTTGGCCACCGCAGCGCCGCCGCTGCTCTGGCCCCTGCCGCTTCACTCCTAGCAAATCCGCGGACGCACGATCATGGATGGAACTCGATCAGGCGTCAAGGAGAACTCCGAAAGAGAGTCGAGGCTGAAGCGACACGCCGACGATCACACAGCTCCTTCTTTTACCTGCTCGACTTACCAGGGCCACCTGCCTCCAGGCCCGACGGAGCGGTGCAGTTCGAGCACAGGCAGGACCGTCCGAACGCTAGAGAGCTCGACCGACAGCCCACTCTTCACAATTTGTTACAGCCGACCCGTACAATAAGGACGGACGATTGGGAGGCAAAGCCCTCGGAAGGCCGATTCGAAGCTTCTCCAGCGGGGCGCGGCCAACGAAAGTGGCCAGGAGTGGACCGAGGAGGCACGGAGGCAAGGGGCACCCTTGGGAAAAGTGCCCATCCTTGCTGTGCGGGCTGACTGTACGTGTTCGACCATGGACCCCTTGCTACCAGGGGCTCCTGTACGCACCCTGAGATCCTTCAGTTCAGCGATCTGGCCTCTGAACGTCTCCATGGCGACTGGGGAGGCGAGGATTACGGAACTGATGGATTTCGACGTCCTGGCATACCGAAATCCATCAGTTCAATAATCCTCACCTCCACAGTCGCCATGGAGACGCTCAGCGGCCAGATCGCTGAGCTGAAGGATCTAAGGGGGCGTATCCTGGGCCGTGTCTTCGGAGGTCTCCAGCGGTTTTCGGACGGTGTCTGGCGGCCTGCAGCGGTCCTCTGCGGTCCTCTGACGGTCTCTTCGGCAGCTCCCGGCAGTCTCTGGCGATTTCCAGCGGCCTCCAGCGCGAAAGCTGGACGGTTGGGTTCCACAAGAGGCCCTTGATCGAGCACCTGACATCTGCGCGAGGCACGGCAGCGGAGGTGGCACAGAAAGCTCAAAAAGCTCGCACAGAGACAGAGGACACAAGGCCAAACAAGAGGACGAGCACGCTCAGCGCGACAAGCGTTAGGTCAGACATGTCTTCCTACAGGCGGATTTGGGAAAACAATAGAAAAAGTCAATAAATGCTCAAAAAATCAAGACATCGTCCCCAGACTATGTTTGACTATTCTCGAGTAGTCCACCTGTAGAGGGACATGACTGACTTAAGACAAGCGGAGCGAGTGAGCGAAGCACCGCGAGATGAAGGAATGATAAGCCTACCCTCCTGCCAGGGTATCCTGCACCGCAGCGGCGGGCAGGGCACCCGAGGCCAGTGACCTGGCAAGGAGGCCAAAAGGCAGAGCCAAAAAGGCAGCGATGCCAGGAGTTGGATCGCATACGCGGCTGGGCCCCTGCGCGGAGCACCCAGGAGGTCACGCTGCATGCACAGTAGGGGCTGGACCACAAGAAGCCGTCCACAAGAAATCCAACCCTGAGACCCCAGGGCGTCCACTGGTTTTCTGGGTGTGGGAACGTCACGCTCTCCACAGCAAAACCGTCGAAACCCGAGAAACCCAACGGCACCCTGGAGGCAAGCAGGGTGTGTTTTGGCATGGGTCTCCACTGTAAGTGCGGAGGGCCGGCCTGCCTGGCCACACGAGGGCCGAGCGCTGGCAAAACCTGCAACCACATGTGCATCCAGCTCACCACCACCAGAGGAGGTGCCGCCTCGCTCGGCGGCGGAAATCCGCGATTCCCCATGGGAACGGGACCCGTCGCTAATCCACGCCCCCTTGATCCATGTTTGCGATCGCCTGAGGCATGAGGGCATGCGGCGCCCCTCCCCCTCGGAGCCTGCAGTTAGGTCGGGCATGTCCCCCTAATTACAGGCGAATATTTGGACGACAAATCCTAATACAAAATGCTAAAAAAAAGTCCCCTGAATATTTTTAACTAGATTTGAACATTCCTCCTGTAGAGGGACCTGCCCGACTAAGCCTACAGTGGGGCTGCAGAAAGATTGAACGACTGAAAAGGAACGAAGCTGCCTGATGGCCCCAGAAAGCGCCTGCGCGGCTTCGAGGACGAGGAGCGCTCGAGAGACAGCCAGGGAAGGACCCGAGGCACATCGAGCCCCGTTCCGAGCCCAACCACTCCTTATTTCAGCGTCTTGGCTGCACGCACCCCAACGATCCTCGTCGTCTGGTTTTTGGGCCATGAGTCGACTCTCCGACGGCCGCCCGGGAGGATCTGGACACCCCCAGGGCGCCTCTCGGCGAGACGCAGCTGCCGAAACGCATCCGGGGGCAGGAAGACCTCCAGGAACGTCCGACGGCGTCCGCGCTTGTGTCTGGCTTCCTGACGGACGGCCAAGAAAAAGGTTTAGCGACCACGAGCGGTGCGCGCGTCAGCCCGCGCAGGCTGCGCCGTGCACGCGGAAGTGTACGTGCTGGCTAGGAAAAAAAGGCTTCGTCGGCTTAAATAGTGGACCGGTCCGGACGTGGACCGGCTGAGCGGCAAAAGCCCCTCGCCGTAGCTGCGGCGAGGAGAGCCCCCCTGGAGGCCAGGAAGGCGCGAAGATCCACGCGCAGTCGTCATGGCGGTCCCGTCGGCGAGACCGTCGCAGCCTTCCGCACAGGTCGAGCCTCCGCGTCGATGGCAGCGTCAAGCTTGCAATCGTTGCCGCCGACGGACCATCCCCCCAGGTTGCAACGCGAGAGTGGAAGAATAAAAAACGCCATAAACATAAACTGGTGGCGCTCCGCACGGATTTCTGGGATCTGCGCTTGCCCCCTCCCCCCCCCCCAGCGCGCGGAGCGCGCCAGGGGCGACGCAGGAGGCGCCGCCGGGAAGGGGGGGGGCCCAGCGCGGACCCAAGAAATCAGCGCGAAGCGCCTGAAGTTTGTGTTTATGGCGTCATTCTTCTTCGAGCGAGCGGCTCCGCGGGCTGCAACGCCGGAGCGATCGGTTGGAAAAAAACGGGTGGGCAGTGGAGCGCCGAGCGCCGAGCGCCAGAGAGGTGCAGGGCGGGACGGCAGACGGGCGCAGTGCCCGCCGACGCCCGCCGGCACGACGGGCAGACCCGCTTCTGCGGAGCCCTCGGGGCACGCCGCCGGGCGCGCGCGCACGGCTCGCACTCGGCAGTCCGTTCCGCTCGTCCCCCCAGCCACCATCCCCCCCCGCCACTGGGCCAGAGGTGCGGCCGCGCGCAGGATCTGATCCGAAGAACTGCGCAGCAACTCCTCCGAGGCCACCGGGCGTGGCGGATGGACGCTTCCTCCCCGCACGTCTACCCTGGGGAAGCCATGTGACGGTTTGCACTGGGGAGGAAGAACAAAGCGGCGGCAGGAACGACAGGAGGTGGCAGATGACGAGGAGAAAGAGAGAGATGAATAGGGCGCGAGGAGGAAACTGCGTCGGAGCAGGAGAGAAAGAGGAGGAGGAGCAGCAGCAAGAAGATGAGAATGGACGGAGCACAATACCCTTAGGGTGCTTGGAGGGTGGCCAGGGCTCACGGAGTCGCGACACTTCACATGCCGTCGGCGAATCGGACACCTTAAGATGCTCCTGCACGGTCGCCGAGTGCTTCGTAAACAGCAGCATCTTGCTTAAGAATGCCTCTTCGACACTCCCCGTGACGCCTCTGAAGCCAAAGCCCCCACCGCCTGAATCGTGCGGCGCTCTGGCAGCTGGGCCAGCTCCCAGCCCTCTCCTGGACTCCCCCAAGAGGTTCCCAAAAAGGCTCGTGCCAAAGAACGCCACTTTCCACCAACAGCGCACGCACTGAGTGTAGAGCATTGTGCCCTGCAGGGAGTTGCCCCTGCGCGTTGGGAACTTCATTACAGTAGGGGCTCGACCACAAGAAACCTTCCACAAGAAACCCAACCCTGAGACCCCAGGACGACCATTCAATTTTGGTGTGAGAACGTCACGCATTCCATAGCAGAACCATCGAAATCCAAGAAACCCAGGGCACCCTCGAGGCAAGTTTCCACTGTAGCCGACTGCTGCCACTCACTAACACCGCCTCGCCGATGCCTTTGGGACTGGGAATTTTCTCGACCGCCCGTCGATCCTGGCGGTCCCGCCACGCTCGGCGCCCCTGCGTACCAAGAGCTGCCTCGGCCGGCCGCACTCGCTTGCTGCCCCCCGCCTCGCCCGCGCTGCATGCCCTGGGCCGGCGGAGAGGACCTCGGCCGCCCGCTGCTGCCCCCCGGCTGCCCACGCCTCGCCCGCTCCCCCCGGGTGTCGGAGATCCCCTTCGCTGCTGCTGCCCCCGGCTGGGCCCCTCTCTGCGCACGCTGTGCAGGGTGCTGGAGCCGCATGCGGACGCTGCCACTGGGGCCTTCGGTGGAGCTCCCTCTGGGGCCACGAAGCGCTCTACGGGGTGGGGGAGCCGCATGCGGACGGTGCCACTGGGGCCTGAAGTGGAACTCGGTATGGGCCACGAAGCGCCGTACTGGATGGGGAGACGCATGGGAACGGCGCCACTGGGGCCTTCGGTGGGGCTCCCCATGCGCCACGGAACGCTGTACTGGGCGGGGGAGCCGCATGCGGACGCTGCCACTGGGGCCTTCGGTGGAGCTCCCTCTGGGGCCACGAAGCGCTCTACGGGGTGGGGGAGCCGCATGCGGACGGTGCCACTGGGGCCTGAAGTGGAACTCTGCATACGCCACGAAGCGCCGTACTGGATGGGGAGACGCATGGGAACGGCGCCACTGGGGCCTTCGGTGGGGCTCCCCATGCGCCATGGAACGCTGTACTGGGCGGGGGAGCCGCATGCGGACGCTGCCACTGGGGCCTTCGGTGGAGCTCCCTCTGGGGCCACGAAGCGCTCTACGGGGCGGGGGAGCCGCATGCGGACGGTGCCACTGGGGCCTGAAGTGGAACTCGGTATGGGCCACGAAGCGCCGTACTGGATGGGGAGACGCATGGGAACGGCGCCACTGGGGCCTTCGGTGGGGCTACCCATGCGCCACGGAACGCTGTACTGGGCGGGGGAGCCGCATGCGGACGCTGCCACTGGGGCCTTCGGTGGAGCTCCCTCTGGGGCCACGAAGCGCTCTACGGGGTGGGGGAGCCGCATGCGGACGGTGCCACTGGGGCCTGAAGTGGAACTCGGTATGGGCCACGAAGCGCCGTACTGGATGGGGAGACGCATGGGAACGGCGCCACTGGGGCCTTCGGTGGGGCTCCCCATGCGCCACGGAACGCTGTACTGGGCGGGGGAGACGCATGCGGACGCTGCCACTGGGGCCTTCGGTGGAGCTCCCTCTGGGGCCACGAAGCGCTCTACGGGGCGGGGGAGCCGCATGCGGACGGTGCCACTGGGGCCTGAGGCGGAACTCTGCATACGCCACGAAGCGCCGTACTGGATGGGGGTGACGCATGGGAAAGGCGCCACCGGGGCCTTCGGTGGAGCTCCCCATGCGCCACGGAACGCTGTACTGGGCGGGGGGCACGCTTGCGGACGCTGCCACTTGGGTCCTTCGGTGGAGCTCCCTTCTGGGGCCACGAAGCGCTCTACGGGGTGGGGGAGCCGCATGCGGACGGTGCCACTGGGGCCTGAGGTGGAACTCGGTATGGGCCACGAATGGGCCACGAAGCGCCGTACTGGATGGGGGAGACGCATGGGAACGGCGCCACTGGGGCCTTCGGTGGGGCTCCCCATGCGCCACGGAACGCTGTACTGGGCGGGGGAGACGCATGCGGACGCTGCCACTGGGGCCTTCGGTGGAGCTCCCTCTCGCTCTACGGGGCGGGGGAGCCGCATGCGGACGGTGCCACTGGGGCCTGAGGCGGAACTCTGCATACGCCACGAAGCGCCGTACTGGATGGAGGTGACGCATGGGAAAGGCGCCACTGGGGCCTTCGGTGGGGCTCCCCATGCGCCACGGAACGCTGTACTGGGCGGGGGGCACGCTTGCGGACGCTGCCACTGGGGCCTTCGGTGGAGCTCCCTTCTGGGGCCACGAAGCGCTCTACGGGGTGGGGGAGCCGCATGCGGACGGTGCCACTGGGGCCTGAGGTGGAACTCGGTATGGGCCACGAAGCGCCGTACTGGATGTGGAAACGCATGGGAACGGCGCCACTGGGGCCTTCGGTGGGGCCCCCCATGCGCCACGGAACGCTGTACTGGGCGGGGGAGACGCATGCGGACGCTGCCACTGGGGCCTTCGGTGGAGCTCCCTCTGGGGCCACGAAGCGCTCTACGGGGCGAGGGAGCCGCATGCGGACGGTGCCACTGGGGCCTGAGGCGGAACTCTGCATGCGCCACGAAGCGCCGTACCGGATGGGGGTGACGCATGGGCAAAGCGCCACTGGGGCCTTCGGTGGGGCTCCCCATGCGCCACGGAACGCTGTACTGGGCGGGGGGCACGCTTGCGGACGCTGCCACTGGGGCCTTCGGTGGAGCTCCCTCTGGGGCCACGAAGCGCTCTACGGGATGGGGGAGCCGCATGCGGACGGTGCCACTGGGGCCTGAAGTGGAACTCGGTATGGGCCACGAAGCGCCGTACTGGATGGGGAGACGCATGGGAACGGCGCCACTGGGGCCTTCGGTGGGGCTCCCCATGCGCCACGGAACGCTGTACTGGGCGGGGGAGACGCATGCGGACGCTGCCACTGGGGCCTTCGGTGGAGCTCCCTCTGGGGCCACGAAGCGCTCTACGGGGCGGGGGAGCCGCATGCGGACGGTGCCACTGGGGCCTGAGGCGGAACTCTGCATACGCCACGAAGCGCCGTACTGGATGGGGTGACGCATGGGAACGGCGCCACTGGGGCCTTCGGTGGGGCTCCCCATGCGCCACGGACGCTTTACTGGGCGGGGGGTACGCTTGCGGACGCTGCCACTGGGGCCTTCGGTGGAGCTCCCTCTGGGACCACGAAGCGCTCGCTCTACGGGGTGGGGGAGCCGCATGCGGACGGTGCCACTACGGCCTGAGGTGGAACTCGGTATGGGCCACGAAGCGCCGTACTGGATGGGGAGCCGCATGGGAACGGCGCCACTGGGGCCTTCACTGGGCGGGGGAGACGCATGCGGACGCTGCCACTGGGGCCTTCGGTAGAGCTCCCTCTGGGGCCACGAAGCGCTCCACGGGGCGGGGGAGCCGCATGCGGACGGTGCCGCTGGGGCCTGAGGTGGAACTCTGTATGGGCCACGAAGCGCCGTACTGGATGGGAAGACGCGTGGGAACGGCGCCACTGGGGCCTTCGGTGGGGCTCCCCATGCGCCACGGCACGCTGTACTGGGCGGGGGAGACGCATGCGCAGTGAGGGCTTCTGTAAGGAGCTTCTGTAAGGAGCCCACTAAGGGCTTCTGTAAGGAGCCCACTAAGGGCTTCTGTAAGGAGCCCTCCAAGGGCTTATGGAAGGAGCCCACTAAGGGCTTCTGGAAGGAGCCCCACAAGGGCTTTTTACAGGGGCCCAGGAAGCCAAAGGGCTTTTTACAGCTGAGAGAAGCCTTCTGGGAGGAGCTCAAAATGGGTCCAAATGGGTTTTCACCCCGGAGCGGTTCCAGGGTGATTCCCGAACCTGAAACGGTCAGTGTCAAGCTTCCAGAATCACCCCGGAACGGTTCCAGGTGATTCCGGAACCTGAAACGGAGGATTTTGCTGGGGCCTTCGGCGGGGCTCCCCATGCGCAAGGAAACGCTGTACTGGGTAGGGGAGACGCATGCGGACGCTGCCACTGGGGCCTTCGGTGGAGCTCCCTCTGGGGCCACGAAGCGTTCTACGGGGCGGGGGAGCCGCATGCGGACGGCGCCGCTAGGGCCTGAGGCGGAACTCTGCATGCGCCACGAAGCGCCGTACCGGATGGGGGTGACGCATGGGAACGGCGCCACTGGGGCCTTCGGTGAGCTTCCCCATGCGCCACGGAACGCTGCACTGGGCGGGGGGCACGCTTGCGGACGCTGCCACTGGGGCCTTCGGTGGAGCTCCCTCTGGGGCCACGAAGCGCTCTACGGGGCGGGGGAGCCGCATGCGGACGGCGCCACTGGGGCCTGAGGCGGAACTCTGCATACGCCACGAAGCGCCGTACTGGATGGGGGAAACGCATGGGACAGGCGCCACTGGGGCCTTCGGCGGGGCTCCCCATGCGCCACGGAACGCTGTACTGGGCGGGGGAGACGCATGCAAACGCTGCCACTGGGGCCTTCGGTGGAGCTCCCTCTGGGGCCACGAAGCGCTCTACTGGGTGGGGGGGCCGCATGCGGACGGCGCCACTGGGGCCTGAGGTGGAACTCGGTATGGGCCACGAAGCGCCGTACTTGATGGGGAGACG